AAAAAAAACTGTTTTTTTTTTGTTTTTTTTTTTGCTATCATTATTCGTATAAACATTTTGTTGTAAATATTTGTCGTCATTTGACGTATAACAGATGACGAACGATTTACACGGTATACGAAAGAAGAAATCGGGCCGAATCCACGAATCCATCCAACAAAACTGAACAAAACAAAAAGAAAGCGATGAAAGAAATAATAACTACATATGTAACGTTTTTTTTTTTTTGTTTTATTGTTCGTTTTTTTTTTTTTTTGACGAAAAAAGAATTTTTTTTTTTGATGAACTCAATAGATCAAATTACATATGAAAAAAAAAAGAAAGAAAAAAAAAGAGTGCTTTTATATAACGATTAGATGAAAAATATAGTTGCGGCTACCGTATACCAACAACAGTTTGATCTGATGTTTTCAGAATTTTCATAGAATATTGGTGTTCTGAAAATTAACACAGATACACTGATACACACATAAAAAATAAACTGTAAATAATTTAATAATCTTTTTTTTTTTCTAATTAGACTATCAACTGTTACAGTTCTACAAATGCTTAAGCGAAAAAAAAATTGAACTGAAAAAACTTCTCTACTTACTATCAAAACCGAAAAATAAAAGGAGAGAAAAGAGACTAGAAGAAAGTGCAAAGTATAATCTAATTATAGCAACATATCTGTTGTAAACTGAGACGTATCTTAAGTTTGGAATTGAAGAAATGACAAAAGTTTTAAGTGTTACTAGAAAAATCTTGTCAAAGCATGCATTTATTTTCACTACAATAACAGGTAAAAGATTTGTTGACAGTTATATCACTACTATTTGCATGAATAATATTGAATAATTACTATGTGCATATATTGGTTATTTCTTAAGTTGATCTTTCTCCTTTTTTTTTTTTTCCTTTTTGTTTATATGCCACGCACTAATTTTCCAGTTAAAGAGTAGCCTTTTCCTCTTTTCCATATTTCTTCATCGCATCTTTAATGGAAATATGTTGCTAATTTTGATCAACGCGACCAGTTGCTTACTTTATATTTTCATAATTAATCACTTAATATTTGAGTTACTATGGATACCTAAAAGTGGAAACATGAATCTTTAGAGTCACACACAGCCATCATCATCGTCATCGTCGTAATCAACTATCACCGCCGCAACCAATAATACTCTCAACCACTACTTTCGTTATTATTGATAAACGCTGAAAGTTGTTGAATCTATTTCTAGTCTTTTGCTATCAGCAAATTGTCAGACCGGATTAAATGTGATAATATAGCAACAGATTTTTGAAAAGAAAATTTTTTATCTCACAGAACTTTGTCAAACTTTTGACTTGTTTACTGTGTTGAACAGACTGAAACTTGTGTGACGTTGTGCCAGGTGAACAACATGGACGAAGATGAAGAAAAAGTCTCAGAAAGTGTTTTGAAGATTGTGGTCTGTGGTGACGGTGCAAGTGGGAAAACTTCATTATGTACGAGACTAACTCAAGCAACCTTTGCTCCTCAATATGTTCAGGTCAGTTAAAGTGAAAGCACTGTTTAATGAACAAAAAAAAAGATTTTTTCAATCAACTTCGCTTTTGTTCTGTTTTGAAAGTCAATGTAGAAATTTTCAGCATAGATGGTAAAGAAGCTCATTAGGCTTTTTTGTTTTATAGTAATTTTTAGTATTATTAAATTGTATTGATATATGTGATCTTCTATTGCAGACAGTTGGATTTGAATTCTATTCAAAGCGACTTTTGCTACCTGGAAAAACTTCTGTGCTTTTGCAAGTAAATTTTTTACATTAGCTTAGCAAAACAATAAACACTAGAAGCTGTTTTATAATCCCCTCTTTTATAATACCTTGTTTGGATTTTTGTCGATGTATATTGGTTATTTGGATTCTATAATCAGATTAGGTAGTTTAATTGTGATGACAGGTATGGGATATTGGCGGACAGAGTATTGCTAGTACAATGTTGCAAAAGTATGTTACTGGCGCTAATGGTGCTATCGTTATCTATGACGTTACAAATGTTGCCAGTTTTGAGAACCTTGAAGACTGGGTCAACGTCATCGAAAAGGCTACAAGCCTAAGTAATCAGGTTTGAAATTTGAAAAGAAAAAAGAACTATACACCGGTTGTAAGTACAAAGGCGCTTAACAAACCTACTCAGAAGTACTGCACTGCTTTAAATCTGACTGAAACTGTATAAAAAGACAAAATGAGCGTATAAAAAGCAGTACCGTCAATCCGCGAACACTCTGGTTATTTTTGTGAACTTTTTTTTTATTACATATAAACTGGTTTCACTGTTTCAGAAGGTCAAATATGCTTTGGTAGGGAATAAAACGGATATGGAACAACGGAGAACAGTACATATTGAACAGCATATTAAATTTGCCGAACAGCATAATATGAGTAGCCATTATGTATCGGCTAAGACAGGCGATGGAGTTATTTTGATGTTCAGGTAGTTCATTTTTAATTTAGTTTTAGTATCTTACCACTTCCAAATTGTCTGCAAACCAAAACTTTTCGTAATTATTCAATTAATCAATTAGGTTTTTTTATTCATTTTTTCTTGACAATATTGATCAACTAAAATACTTAACTGTACTGTGATCATCAGTATCGGTTTCTCATGAAATATTAGGAATGCACCTTATTACTTGCCAACAAAGTCTTTTTGAAACCTCTGCACTAAATTCGGCTGTTTGTTTTTCCCTGTTAAAGATTTTGCTTGCAACTTTTTTAAAGGCTAGAAGATAACATTACTTTCATTTAAATTTATAAAAGTGAATTTCTGTACAACAATTATATTGTTAAAAAAAAAAGAAAACAAACTACATTAGCTATTTCTCCACCAAAGAAACAGTCCCACATAGCGTGATAAAAAGCTAGTTTGTTTGGTTCGTAAGTTTCAAGCTGTTTATTGCTGTAAGTGCAGGAATGCCAAAGCAAGCTTTTGCTTTTCAAGCTCATAAGTCACGAGCAAACCAAATTTACCCACTAATAATCATCGTTTTTCGTTAGTAATCGCCTTGGCTGCTTGCTGTCATTTTCGTTTTTGTTGCTGCCAATGTCATCTTCATCATCATCATCATCATCTCTACCTTGTTTAGATTGATGCAGTTTCATGAAAAACAGTTGTACTTGCTAGCACAGCAAAGAAAGTTTAGAGCCTTTTATGTCGTGTAAAACTGTTTATGATTTGTCTGTCGATTCAGATACTGTTCACCAAAAAGAAAGACGTCAGGAACTCTGGTGTCTACCATACAGTTATTAGTTAACATAACGACAACAACAGTGTAATAACAACATCTGGCTTATTACCAGTCATTGTTTTTTTTTTTTTTTTGAAGGTAATAATAATAGAAAAAAGTAAATACTTGAATTGATTTTTGTTTTTCCAGACATCACTAAATATAAACAACTTCAAGTCTTCTTTTTTTTTCTTTTTTTTTTTTTCTGCTATTGTTCTTTATATGTTAAAGATTTTCTTTTGATAAAAACCGCAGATAGTTTGGGTGGCGACAATTGAATAAATGAAAATGTATTGTGGTGCTTTTCATAAATTTATCGACTCAGATATTTTCAGTAAAAAGTTCTTTTTTTACGTTTAGAATTTAAATCTTGAGCGATTATCAGTGATGAGACTGTTGATGATATTTTCGTTGTCGTCTATGTGAACAAAAAAAAAAGATAGGTCTAAAAACAAAGAAAAAAAATTGGAAAACAACTAATACCAAAAATAAGAATGACAACGTTTTCGCTACTGACTTATGTAAACTCAGATTAGAACCCGTTCAAATAGATAACTGATGAGAAGGTAGAAAGAAAACTTTCACCATTTATAAAAAAAAATTTATTGTTGAAACCAATATAGATTTAATCAGTTCCTACAAACATTTTAAGTAGTTTTTAAAAACAGAAATGATACATGAAGTAATAAACAAAGTTAAATCTGCAAATTTTAACTGTCAAAATATATTCTGTACCGTTTAATTGTTCGGGAAAGCGAACAGGATGTATTACTTTTGTTTGATGTATTTATGATGTAAGAGAGTAGAGTTTACACTATAGCTGGATGATTTACATTAGTGCAGATAGAACAAGAAAAATATCGTCAACGTTAGTGCAGCTTTTGTTGTCATCATCGTTGTCATCGTGGACGTCGACGTTGTCGCCGTCGTCGTCGTCGTCAAGTTGTTGATATTAGTATTTTGTTTTTCCAGACAACAAAATCATCATATTTTCTGTAGATGCAACATTTTGTTGTTATCGTTGTTGTTTACCAACTAACAATATTCAAGGGCCACAGTCTTTTGAAAATTATGCTTTGCTACGCAGAATATCGTTAAACAAAATTCCAATTAAACTGCGTTAATCTTCAAACACTTTTTTTTTCTCCTTTTTTTTTTTCATCCAGCAAAATTATTTGTTTTCTTGCCACAAAATTTGCGCAATAATTGTGTTGCTGTTGAGAAAAATAATGCTGGATGAAGACGACAACAAACCACCGCCACAACAATCAGCATCACCATCACCGCCACCAGTACCACTGCTATTGCTATTGTCATTAACAAAGACAACAACAATAACGGCAATAATCACAAGAAAAATAATAGCAACAACAAATTTATTTATTTATTATTAAAAATGCAATCGATTTTGCTGCATATAATCATAAAAAGAGGCTTAATCTTACGGGAAGATAATAACCTTGGTAAACAACCAAAATATACAGACAGGACAGAACCTGAAATGAACGTACAGCAACAGCAGCAGCAGCAACAACAACAACAACAACAACAGCGAGTTTCTCCATTCTACGTGAAGAAAATGAATGGGTTGGCAGACAGACGGACGGATGTACGACAGACGTGCCGTACCGATTGGGATAGGCCAGCAACAAACTGATGGATGGGAATAGATTGATCGTGATAATGGTGAAGCAGTTGAGTTGTGATGCCTGGTGATGCTGATGGTGGTGGTGATGGTGTTGTTGGTTAATCATCGATCATATCAGAACCAGCAACAGTGGAAAAGTTGTCAGCAACATTTGGCTAACAAATATGACAATGAG